AATTCCGTGAACGCCTGTTGTAGAATCGAATTTCTTTTTTTTTTCTCTCTCCCCTACGCTCGCGTGTCTCCTCTCGCGCTCCCTGCTCTCTCACGATACATCTCGACGTCCATGCGAGACGCGTCGTCGCTCCGCTTGGCGCGACTCGGCGAAGAGGACCGACTTCTCCAGAATCGACCTCGGACCCCGGAAAAGCGGCGGTAAACGAAACTGTCAATTCTAATCGGTGAAAACGATAATATACGCCCCCCGCCCCCCGTCGTGTTTACGCAACCTGGTCAGATCATAATGGGATCGTTATCCGCTTTTTTTTCGAGCGTGTGCCTGTCCTTGCCCGAGACCCAGATTTCTTCGGCGCCGCAAGCGAGAGAAAAAAGGGGGAAGAGCTGGCCCCGCGCGCGCGGAAGCGGTTTCGGGCGCGCACCGGAATTCCTAACGGGATTTTTCGACGCCGCGGCGGTGCGCCGGCTTTCCGTGTTTTTCGGCCTCGCGGCGATTCGCGCACAATCGAGCGGCCAGCGTCGTCAGGTTAAGGCAGCCGGCCATCCGTTTTCGGGAGCGTACGCGGTTATTGATCGCCGTCGTCCCCCCTCGCGTCACTCCCGGTCGGAGTGACGACATTGGCACCGCTCGCTCGCACGCCACGGCACGCGCGGCTCCGTTTTTCCCTCCCTTTCCCCCCTCCCCCCGCTCGGTCCCTTCTGGAGCACGGCGAGGAAAACACGCTTACCCGCGCGCGAGTAAACGCGTCCCCCTGATTTTCCGCAGGTAAGAGGATTTTATCGCGTCCGCGCGCGCGCGCGCGTGCGTGTGCGACGGAGGTGACGAGATGATCTGGTGATCTCCGCGGGAGATCGCTCGCGAATCGCGGAAAGTTTTCCCTCCGCGCGTCCAGCGATGACGAGGCGATTCCGCGCGTAGCCATCGATCGGGATCGCCGCGGATAACACGCCGTTAATTGGTAGCACGCGATCTCAAAGTCCTCCCGAGACAAGGTGCGCGAGATACTCGGTGTGTCGTCCGTGCGTTGTGCGGGGACATGTACCGGAACCGTGATTTCTGTGATTCGACTCTGTTGTTGACACACGTCTTTGTTTGATATTATTATAAACGAATAGAGAATCCGGCGGCGCGAGTAATTCAGTTGGACGCGTGCACGTGAGATTTTCGTGACGACAGAAGCGATTGTATGATTGTTTTTGTTCGAAGTTCGGGCAGGGATAGAAAGCATTGCTGAGAAACCTTGCCTTACATCGTTCGTTCTTTCCAGGTACTACTGAAGAAAATGACGTCCTCCAAATCCAAACGCGGCTTTCCATGGAGATCTGCCAGTTTCTTTTTACTGCTGCTGATCGGTGCGATTGTAGCGTACGACACACAGAAACATGGCTCTTTCGAGGGTAAGAGCTCTCTGTGAATAAGATACTTCATCATTCTGCTCGCTTCTCATTTCACGTCAGCTTGTCATTCCAATCATTTTACATTTCCTTATATACTTTTCGTTTCTGTGCTTCAATTGGGATTCAAATATTTTGTCGTAATGTAACGTCGTCATCCAGGGAGAGTCATCATCTTGCCTTGTGACGGAGCAACACGTCAAATAGTAGATAATGGCCTAGTTTACACCGTGCGTTTATTACACGATAGGTCGCGACGATGTAAACAGTTGCGACCTCGCTTGGGTCAAGTCTCTTTCACGTGCCCTGACCTAAATTAGGTCACATGACGTAATGCGTGTAAACGCAGGTGACCTAAAGATCGCCTAAAGTGCAGAGAGTGTACCAATAGATACTAATAGATAATTTTTATTCGACCCTATATTCGACCCAAAAGTATCATAGGTCTACATGGTGTAAACGTTTTATTTAGAAGCCTATTTTAGGTCAGGTCGCACTGTGTAAACTAGGCCAATAATTCACTAACAACACACTCATTGTCATAAAGCATCACCACAAGCCCATCGACATCACCGCCTCTCTAATCGCTCTTCTAACCAAATTGGCGATATGAATGTTTCGTTATACTTTATCGTACTTATTGGCTGTTTATGTATTGTAGCGTCCCAAGTTGGAAAGTTCTTGAAAACTAGCGGAATATTGACACATGTAGAAAAGGCGTGGACTACTCTAAAGTTATATTGGTCTGCAGGACACAAAGCAATTAAGGATAGCTCGCCGGAATATTACAAAGCCGTTGTAGACTGGTGTACACCGTACATTAAATTAACTGGCGATGTCTGCATTGTAGTAAGAAATATTTCGATTAAACAGTACAACAATGTTGCGGCATACGTCGAGAGGAATGTACCTATAGTTCGGGATACGGTAAGTGTAATGACAGATCTCAGATATTTTTATCGAACACAACTCTTCGATGTAAAACACACTTTGTAACGTGATCTTTTTCTTCTGCACAGATCGAGCATTACGCCCCGGGGATCTTGGAGCAAATTAAATCTCGAAGTATTCAGGGAGTAGAGTTTGTGAAAGTTTCCTTCATTATGCTTGGAGAGAAAGTTGTTGAACATTCCAACGCGTCGATACAGTGGCTGGAGAAGAATGTCTTTGTGTAAGTGCGCTTATACGTTATGCGGAGGCTGTATAATCGAGTACCCGACCATGACCTTTTTTTTCCTCTCTTTTCAGGGGCAAGCTCAGCCCGGAAAGTCTCCGCAATTACGCCATATGGGCATTCGATACGACGCAGTCGTACGCCATTCAAACGTACGACTGGGTGTACGAGAAAGTGCAGACCCTCTCCAAAGTGCCATGAATAAAATCCAATGGTTTTGTTGTATGAATAATTATTGCGTCGATGAACGAAACCTTCGCCTCACCACGCGACACTCGGCATTTATTATTTATGACACGGAAGCGTTACATACATATTTCCGAAGATCACGAATGCGTCGGCCATTTTACCTGTGATATCTCGACGAGAAAATCTATATCCTCTATTTTGGTTGGCCCTGACGAGAAAAATTTCGTGATCTTATAAAAAAAAAACTGGAACAAATGCGGACACTTTTTAAGATGAATATTTTTCTGCCACTTTCTTTGAAATTATTATTAAGTAATATATATATGTATATCCATACATTACATCTATTGTACGCAAATCGTCGAAAGTGCGATATTTAGTATTTTGTATTTTTTTTCATTTATAATTTTGAGGATTTTGATTGAATATACATTCGATTATATTGAATGATCGAATAAAAATTTTTTTTTCATAACGGCTCTTCTTGTAGATGTAGTAAAGGAGAAATTACTACAGAACCGTAATAAAAAGATTTAAGGAAAAATCATTACGGAAAGATGGGTCACAGAAATAAATCACAGCGGCAACGGTGATATTTTTAGGAATAGCAGAATAGTATTAATAAATATCGCAATATAATAATAATAATGAAATGGATAGCGATGAAATGCGATAGATGAATATGAGATATGATAATAATATAATTTTAACAAGAATATATTAAAGTTTTACATGGGAAGAGAGATCTGTGGACAGTGACGGTTAGCCACTTCCATAAAGCCACGTATGTAAAAATGAGTGTCTTCATTTCCTCCCTTCAATAGAGTTTCAGCAGCGTGCCCTAGCTGTTTCTTTCTTATTTCCTCACTCCGTTTTGCGCACGTTCACAGCTTTTATCCCTGATTACTTCACCGCGAGCGCGTGTCCCGTCAGCGCGCTTCAAGTCCGCTTATATTTTCGCGGCGCCGAGTACTCGCACACTATAATTCGTACGGGAAGAAAAGCTTCATCGTATTCTTGTAGATTTGATTGCACAGGTACTCCTCCTCCTCGTCTCTGATCCGCGCTAGGACTTCCAATATTTGACTGCAAGTAATTAAGATCGTATCGTGTACATACACCACAGTTTAAAGATCTTGTAGAAGTTAACGCTGTCATGTTATAATATATAATGTATCGTATATAATTCTTTTGCGACTTGCGGGAAGAGAAGGGTATACTCACACTATCGTACAGGGTTCGTTCCGTCCTTTAACCATCTGGTCCGCCTGCCACTTTTCTTTCTTCACGGACGGGAAGTGCGTGATAACGTCGTTCGCGGATGCGTGCGTCGACCTGATCTCGCACCACGGACAATCGGTCTCTATCATAAGCCTGTCCGACGGAATGGTAGTGATCGCGAAAAGGTTCTCCTCTGTCTTCAACGAGCTGAAACGAGACGGGATTATCGATGCGCTGTTCTTTCTTCTTTCAGCTCTTAACGAGAATCATCAGCACTATGTCGATCTTTTACCATCCATTGACGCCAATGTACAAGCCTAATTGTAGGATGGAATTCGCGTCCTCCGGGTTGCCGTCGAAGGAGTGTACAACGCCCGGCGTCAATTCGTTTTTGTGCTTCCTCAGAATTCGCACGAAGTCGTCGCTGGCGTTGCGGCAGTGCAGGAACATGGGTAGCTTCAGCGTGGAGCACAACGACAATTGCAGCTCGAAGTACTTCTTCTGAGCCTCCTTGGGGCAGAAATTCAGCCTGTCGTAATCCAGGCCCATCTCGCCGATAGCGACGACTTTATCCTTGTTGTTCAGCGCCAGGTCCGACAACGACTTGAGGTACTCCTCCGGATTGCCATACTCGTCGAATTCATTGCAACGGGTGGGATGGCAGCCGACCGTCGAATACAGTCTGTCTGCAATTTATTGATTGACGGCGATCAGTCACTCGTGCAAAACTAATTTAAATTAATTGGGCAATGTCCATTTCTACCAATGTAGCTTAACTTTAATCTCGATTTGACTTATCTTCTATCTTTTTCTAATTCATAGAACTAGAAAAAGATGAAAAGTAAATGTACTAAACTAATAACACTTAAAACCTATGTCTGGACACCTTTACCATTTTAGTTTTTAAATAAGCAAACGCGAATAAATCAAAGATAAAACTATAATACAAGAAAAATAGTTTTATCTTTGATTCTTTGATTTTAATTTGCATTATAACTTATTTAAGGGCTAAAATGATAAAAATGTCCAGACATAGGTAGGTATCCAGGTAATTGGTACATTTACCTTAAGTTAAACCGAGATAAAAATAATTTTATATTGGTAGAAATACATATAAGACGGGAATTGAAAACTAAGATCAGATCTACGACTGAAGCGTTAATTTGAAAACGAAGAAAGATTTATATCAATGCAATCTCTCACGTTTTAATAATACTTGCCATCGGTTCTCGCTATCTCGAGAGCCTTCTTGCTATCCTCCACGCTGCCAGCCGTGATGATGATCTTCGAGAGATTGTTCTTCCAACTTCGCTCTAAAACTTTATCCAAATCCGGCTGATGCTTCTGGGACCCGTGGTAGATCCCTTGGTACATGGAATCCGTTAAATTGGCTCCGATGTCTACAACAATTTTGGAGCAAAAATGAAGTACGCTAACTTACTCTCCATTTAATAGGAAATCGCTCAAGGCAAATGTGCAATGTGCAAGACGTTCTGTATATGTTTACAGATACTTCAACGTGCCAGCAAAGTATTAAATTATTAATAATACACAAAAAACTGCGGACGACGCTAAAACATCCAACGCGTCTCGCGAGGCATTCGAGGACTCCCACAAGAACTCGGCATCCTCCAGAAAGGGCGAGGATCGGAAAATCCACCGAGATCGACGGTAGGGATCTCGTCGAGTTAAAAAGGGACCTTTAAAAAGTCTCGCGTCGCCATAACCTCCCATCGCGAGACGGAAATCGCGTAAATCGATCAGAACGCGAGGAACGACCGCGTTTACCTATGAATTTCCGCAAATTGGACATTCTAGCTGCGAGCATGAAACGTTTCCTAGGCGGAGTCTGGCCGTTCGTGCGGGTGTTCGGCCGAGGGTAGACGGAGAGGTTAGCAGGTGTCCGCGCCGTTTCCACCGGCTCGGCTGGAACGACACATGGGAGACCGATGGAGGACTGACGTTGCGCTTTCATGCGCAGTAGGGATCGTCCCGACGCTATCCTCGTCGCGCGTCAATTCGCCCGCCATCGATCAGCCCGTATAGCAACCGCTAGCGTAACTCCTCATCTTAGATATATATGTTAGAAAAGAAAAATACGGACGAGAGATTAGAACGATCAGGAGGGGGTCTGGGGTCTAGGTCTTGCAGCTGCATGAACATGCACTCTTGCGTCTCTTCTGCATAAATTCTTTTTTCCACAATAGAATGTTGTAACTAATATATAATTGTAACATATGTAATATAATTATACTTGTAATATATATTGCAATAATATGTAATTATACTTGTAATATATATTCAGGTGCAATTTGAAACGTATCCAGCAATCACAACTAAAAAGAATTTTTAGCTACAACTTGTACCACATCTAGCAATCACAATTTATACATAATTATATAATTATCTGTAAATGATCAAAGTTATTTTTCTCAAGCTTTGCAAGTTCAACTGGCTGCACTTACTTAATTCCACGCATTTTTTTTTTATAAGGAATATTGCTAGAGATATGTAACAGCATCGATTATCTTTTACAAGTTTTTTTATTGATACAACGTTTGTTGAAGATAACAGAAAGAATACAACGAAAACGTTTCGTTTCATGTTTCCTTTTTTATATATATATTTTTTTATTATATATATATATATATAAATCCTTATTTATATAAATCTTAAATCTAGATAAGTTTTGTCGTGACTCGATGCGCTTGTGAATGTATGGAATCCTTCCGTCGTCGTGCTCGCGAATGGAATATTAACAGATGCGAGGTTCGGCGTTACTGTATATTGCAAATCGCAAACACCGCTCGTTGCTTTAGAAAGTCCTTGGCTTTTTATTTTACGCGGGGACACGATTACCGGAGCGACTTTACGATCGTGTTGATCTTCTCGATGCAGTCCTCCTTCTTCCTGGAGATGGCCATCTCCATGTCGATGAACTGCTGCCGATTGATCTTGCCCGGGATCAGCTTCTCCAGATACAGGCCCTGCAGCTGGCCGTAGATCTCCTTCAGATAACGATCGCACTTCTGCAGCTCCTGGATGCGATCGTACACGTCGCTGGACTCGCCCTTGATCTTCTGCGCGATCTCGTTGAGCGCGTTGTTCGCCGCCTTGTAATCCTGATTGATGCCCTTGATCGCGGACAGGAACCCGTTCGTGTCCTTGGACACCTTCAGATACGCCAGCTGCTCCTCGAGATTGTAGTAGGTCGCGATACGGCGATCCTGAGCGGCGAGGATCTTCTCGCACTGCCCGGCGATCCTCAGCTTGCTCTCCGACGCCTCGTCCTTGTCGATGGAGAAGTCGCATCTCACGTACACGATGACCGCCAGGAACATGAGCCACAGCGCCAGCACGATCATCAGCGGTTCCTGCAGCATCAGCAGACGCGGGAACGTGTACTTGAGCCTGAAATTCTGTATGTGATTCTCGACCAGATTGTTCTTGGTCACGGATATCACCGGACGTCCGGTGACGTCCAGGTACGTGTGGTGCAGGGAGTCCGGCAGCCGGGTCACGGGATACGGCAGCTCCAGCTTGATGTTCCGCGCGCCCTCCGGCAGAATGATCTTCAGGACCAGCTCGTCCACGACCATGTCGTCGAAGACGTGATCCAGCAGTCTCATCTCCAGCGCGAACTCGTCCCCGGAGTGGAAGAGGTACTCGTAACTGGGCACGTTGTACCCGATCGTGTAACGGGTCTTCCAGCCGCCGAACAGCGGGAATCTCGGCCGTAGAGTCAGCTCCACCGAGTCCTTCTTGACGCGGGTGTGCGACGTGGAGATGTTACCGATCTCGTCGCGATAATAAATGTCGGAGGCGGCTGCCGGCAGGACGGTGTCGAAGCTCTGGATGCTGGCCTGTCCGGACTTGGACTCCCGGGCGTACTCGTAACGCGAGAAGGACCCCTTCAGCAACGCTCCGGTGTGCAGGAGATCGATGTGCTCCTCGACGGCTATGTTACCCCAGTGAGATAGCTCGACGACCCTCTCGAGCCGCGTCACCGTGAGGAACTTGTTGTTGTTCTCAAAGTGCACCGTCATCTCCTCGTGGGCGAACGGCGGCTGCGCCTCGTACGGACCGTAGGCCAGCATCGAGCCGGTCTGGGAGACCGGCTTGATCTTGGTGTAGCTCTCGATGTTGCGCGTGGGCAACGCCACGTAGGTGGTCTGCTTGGCGACCGCGTAGGGCAGGCAGGCGTACACGTTCCCCGTGTACCGGACGAGCTGCTTCTCCTGCTGGGTGATCTGCTTGGGATGCGGCGCCAGCTCGTGCGTGAACACCGTCTCGAGTTCGACGGTGAGGGTGCGCCGGGCCGCCAGATGGTTGCCGAGATCGACGGAGTAGAAGACCCGGTCGCGGTGCGCCGCGACCTTGGTCTCTTTCACCTTCAGCTCCAGCTTACCGGGCTCCACCCGCGCCGCCACGTAGCTGACCGACCGGCTCTGGGCGTCGTCCAGGCAGAAGAGGAAGCTCGGGACGCTACGGTCCCGGCCGCTGTTGTCCAGCACCACCCGGGTGCTGATCTTCGTCAGCTGGGACTGCAGGTCGATGTGCCGCTCGACGTTCCGCACCACCAGGTCCGGGTCCACGAGGTCGGCCGCGGTGCAGCCACTCCGCACGCCCAGGTAGAGCGCGAGGGCGCAGATCAGCGCGCCCGCGTGCACGCGAAACATCGTCGACGAGGATCTGAAACTGACTGGACCACCGATAGCGGCGGTAATCAGCGTGATCAAAGGTCCGTCCCCGCTGGGATGAAATAATACCGTGATAAATGTTCCGTTATGTTGTGCACTTGCCGGTACGCGGCGACACGGTTAGCACTTAGCACATAACAAAATACGTGGCGTTCGTCTATGGCGCCGGCGAGTTGCGCGCGCCGCGCATGTCAATGTATACCGCTGCGGCCGGCAACGCAGCATCTCGAGAACATATGTACGCGTTTACAACGCGAGACGGT